TCTCTTCATCCCTTGTGCAAGGTATTTTCCTGCCCTTCCCTCTTTCTCTGCCTACAAATCACTCTTTCCCATTCCCTCCCTTTCTTTGTGAAAAGACATGTTCACCCTCTATCTCTCTTTTTCTTTCTGTTCTGGGAGTGGAAACGAGGACAGATTGACTTTGAGATCTGACCCGAGCTAAGACCGGCTGTCAGCAGGTAATGATAGAGACTTAGAGAGTGACGCCTTTTCACAGAGAGGGATCACGCCTCGTCCTCCACTTAAAAAGAACCCTTTTAAAATTTAGATCCCTGTTGAGAGAACAGGCTATCCCTCTAAAATACACCTTGATCGATTTCCTAACTATCCGACTCCTGCAGCAGCGGGGGAACCGAGAGCGGACGTGGAAATAAATCCCACAAAAAATAATAAAATTCAGAGTCTGCGAGTGGCTGCTGTTCTGCAACAACAGAAAAAGAAAACTGCAGAAAGTCTTTTTCTCACTGGAAAATCTGCAGCTGTTGGACAACAACATGAAGAACTGCATTCACTTTCATTGCCTTTGGGGGGAAAAACGGGGTTATTTTGTGACAGATGTTACGTACTCAAGCATAAATTCAGTGTGCAATCAGACAGAGTGCAAAGAAAATATCATGGCCTTTTTCAGGAAACATTTTGGAAACATGGTTTTGGGTTTCTGGCCTGAAAATTTTGTTCTCAAGGTCGGACTTTCTCATGGACCATTAAGCACGTTGGTTAACAGTACAGAAAGTGTCTGATTGGTCAAACACAAGACTTACAGCAGTTAACATCTCCTTTCCACCATTGGATCACGCAGTTGCACATCTGCAAATTACAAAGAACAACCCGATGACTGTGTTGCAAAAGTCGTTTCACTTCACGAGGGAATGACCCCGACTTGATGAAGCAAGAACTATCTAGAGATTGTCGAGACCTCGGTTGTCGCTGTTCACAACAACGAAACAGTCTTACTGTCAAAAACAAACCTCTAGACGGTAACTGCTTCTTCACAGCTTCACTGACACAAGCACTATGGCAGGTTTAACAATAAATCACAATGCACAACACGTACTCCAGGTGACCCAAATATTTCTACCTTGAACAGTAGGTAAGTATCTGGAACTTAATGCAAAGAAAAGAACCGGAAAGGGTTTGGTGGCCAACAAGGGTGAGGACACAGGGGCTCAGATTAGGAGTGTGAACAGATACTAAGGAGACATCATGATACGCGTTATTAGGTTCACAAGAATGAGACAAAAAGATCCTTAAACAGTGTTTAAGATATCCTCAATGATCCGACATATGAGCGGGGAGGAAATTTTTTATTTATGTAAAAAGGAAACACAAAATTCAGGTAGCACATTACATTTCAAAATATATAAATATAACAGAATATAAGTCGGTGCAGCTCTCAGGCATTCTGTGTTTCTGCTGTAGATCAACTCTTGTAATATCATCCCTGCTGAGGCAACACACATGCAGGCCTGATTTAGTCTTCCCTCCTCTTTTGTCATGTTCACAGGGAGAGAAAACTCCCTGAAAACTTGGCCAAAAAGAAACTGCGTCAAGAAGTTGTTGAAGTTACTGACTGGAGCTGCACGTTTTTGGGTCATTTTATTAGTAGCATTTTTTTTTTTTCAGCTTAAGTTACTTTTTTTTGACAATGCACACTTCTATATTTTAATTGCATTGCATGACTTCTTAATGTGCAAATAAACCTTTCTAAAAGCATTTTCATTTGTTTATTTAACTGCAAGCTATATTTCAGAACGTTATTTAACTGTGAAAGTGGTGGGGACATCAGTGTCCCCACTGTAAATGACAACTATGGTGGCCAAACAATAAACGAATCTAAAATCCACAACATACTTATTCCATACAAACCAAACCTGCGACTCGGAGCTCCTAGTTTTGAAGTAAAAATACTTTTTTTAAATGACAAAAGTCTCCAATGTGCACAAAATCATTGCAAACACAGCGCTTTAGACAAACAGAACATTTTTCCTGTCTACACTTGATGTCCAAACCACACCAGACATAAAACACATCACTGACGAAACACAAACCAGATTTGTCACCATCCAATTAGGCAGAAGCTAGTTGAGAATCATTAGACGGCTGTTCTGAAATCAGCTTCCACACAATCAGCAGAGTTCAAAAAGACAACGAAATAAAACGAAGAAAGGCTGATTTCAGAACAATCTGACTGCGCTCCGGTTTGACGGGGAGGATGAAGAGAAAAAAGACACGGAGCACCTCCAGCGCCCCGTAGCCATCCATTTCTGAAAGCCCCCCTTTCAGAGAAGAAATTAATTTTGAAAGAGGGAGAATAAAACGAGCAGCTGAGGTGACTGGAGGTGCTGTATTAGACTACGCTCGACTAAAACCAAGTCATTTAAACCGCTGGCTGCCGGCTCGCCTCCTGACCTCCCATCCTCACAGCAGACAGAGAGGAATAATCTCCCTCCATATTTCACTTCCCCCCCCCCCCCCCCCCCCCCCCTGTTACACATCCTAACCTCCCTCCCTCCTAGTTCAGTCTGACCCTGCCTGGCCGCCGTAGAGTCACTTCCTGATTGCCACTCAGGATGTTCAGAGCTCAGGAACTTTTGGAGAAGGTAATTGAAAAAGTTTCAGGGATCTTGGTGCTTTTTTTATTTCTGGTGAGGAGTGTGACATGTTTTAGTTCTGTTTTTTGGGTTATGGTAACTCTGGAAGATCTGCAGGTAGGTATAGTGGTCGTTAAAAACTAGTTTTTGGATATTTAACATGTGCTTTGTGCAAACATGAGTGTTTACCAGCAGTATATACATGAGCATGAAGATGTACTGAAATAATAATTCTACTCAGTTTTTGTGTAAGGAGATAAAAGTTATAGTACTGCAGCTATTGTGCAAATTTTTCCAGTTTTCAAAAGAATATAAGAGAGAACTAAGAGTTTGTTTTGCCAGGAGACTTGCTGTAAACTTCCACGGTGAGGGCTGACTGCAGAAGTCATACTGTGGATCCTACCAGCTGCGATTCTAGATGTGTTCTCCAACGAGTCCACATAGTGTTAGCTATCAACTAATGTGCCCAAATGAATCTACCCGTTGCAAAATTCTTCTATCAACATCAGCAGCAGCTCCTGCACACTGTGCTCATCCTGCATTATAAAAAGCAGGGGTACCAGCTAGCAATAGCTGTCTCCCATGAGTCCAGATGTGATGGCAACAAATAACTTTTTGAAAGCATTTGTTAAAAATGTTCTGAAAAATAGCTTTAAACAAGAAATTTACTTGCTTACCTTTATTCGCACAATAAGAACACGTGCAATGCAATTCAAATATAGAAGAAACATGTGCGTTGTCCAACTTAACCAAAGCTTACTTACTGATTACTGCACTATATTCTGTTGTATTTTTAATTGTCACTTGAATTTTGTGTTTCCCTTCATATAAGTAAAGACATTTACACTATAAATTCGTGCAGAAAATGTCCCCTAGAATGCAGGAAATCAGAAGTCCCCACCACTTTTCTACACAAGGTGACGCCCTTGTTTGAGGTCACAGATGGGGCTGATGGGTAACAACACCTCCCCCAAAATGGTTCAAACCTGTACAGTAGTCTGCCCACAAGTAGTTCACAGGTAAACATCCAATATCTTCCTTTTGGTGATGACAATTTGACTGTGAGTGTAAGTACATAAATCAAAACAACACCAATATGATATTGATGGACTTAAAAATCAAACCTAAAGTGTTTTGCAGACTTTTTAACAGGCCTCCAGAGAAACACCTGGAGGCCTTTTGCAGTGGCTGCAAAAACACTGCAGAGGTCATATTTGTGTAAATAAAGAATTTATGTAATATCGTGTGTAAATGCAGCTCATTTACGGGATGAACCAACAACACCTTAAAGCAAGAGAAGACCACTCACAAACCGATCACTTTGCTCTGTCTGTAATCAGCTGTGGTAGACAGTACTTGATAGAATCCGACTGCAGCGGTCTGTGGTTTGACTCCCATCAGGCGTGTTGTCCTTGCTGTCAGGTTGTTATTATTTGGCGTTCCGCCCAAACGCCTTCACTGCCTCCGACCGCCGTGAAACGCTGTGCAGCTCTGAACGCCTCCTCAGCTTTTACCACCACAGTAAAGCTCTGACTGCAGCAACAAACAGCGCGCCGCAAATCATCTAGACAGCCACTAAACAGGGACACCAAACCTCTGCCTCTGTGTGTGTGTGTGTGTCGGAGAGGCAGAGTGTATTATGCCTCCTGACAAGGGTAATAAGATTGTAGAGTTGCTGCTGTGAGGAAACTTTTCAAAGATACAGGAAAGCAAAGATTCTCTAAGTGGCCTTTAAGTTTTAAAGTTTAATCTAGAAATCCTACTGCAGTATTATTATCCTACCAGGGGATCCACAGGAGTTTTACTGTAAAATGTTAGAGATGTAAACAGCTCGCCACTGAAAAAGCTTATTAAGAGTCGGCTGTTTATTTTTCCGGTAAGTACATTTTGTTTTAAGCCTGTTTTTCCATGAGCATCCCGGTTTATATCACCGTCTCGTCCAAATCTGGCCATGTCCAGTTCCACAAAAGCCAAGATGGCGCCGGCCTAAATGCAAAACTCAAGGCTTCAAGACGCGAGTTCACAAACCAACGGGTGACTACGTCCACTTGTTTTATAAGGGATTATAGATATTATAGATAGACGTTTAGACGGCTGCGGCTCAGGTGGTAGAGTGGGTCACCAAAACATTAAGACCCATTTACTTGCTTGTTCTGGAGCTTTTGACCACAGCACACAGTCCTCATCAGCAGATTCAGCTGCCATGGGAACGTATAAACATCTGTATTTCCAAACCGACTGAAAGACTGAGTGCTCCAGAACAAGCACGTAATTGGGGCTTGATTTGAAATTGTTTCATCAACTGCTGTTTCCGAGGTCGAGATTGATCAATAAGTTGACTTGATTGTCGAATCAATGTAGAGTATGTAGTCAGGCGGTGACTGTACTCACAGTCCAGGTGACACTGTCTGATTCCCTCCACGTCTTCAGCATGAATGAACTGGTAGCACCTCTTCCCGACAATGTCCACCGGAGTCAGGTCCATGTAGTCATTGATCCTGAAACGCAATATCAATACCGTAAAAGCTCTAAAACACAAGGACACAAAACAAAGATAATATAACAGAAAATGTGTGCATCATGATTAGATTGACATAAAAACTCCCACAGTCATCCCGTTTAAATACATGAAAAACGTGTTAAAATAGAGGAGCTAGCCTATTAAAGTCCAGGAGTTAAAAACTGAATTAATTTATCATTGAGGTGAAAAGATACCGCAGTCGCATTAAAAGAGGTTACTTCCCCAAACAACAGATACAAAGAGGAGGGAAGACTAAATCATACGTGTTGACTCAGCAGGGATGACATTAAGTAAGTTGATCTACAGGAGAAACACGTTATTAAGCAATAAAGAACAGGCTGAGAGCCTTACGGCATTATATTCAGATATATTTTTATATTTTGTCACCTTCCGCCTGAATTTTGTGTTTCCCTTTATATAAATAAAAACATTTCCACCAATAAATTGGTGCAGAAATTTTCACCGGAACGCAGGAAATTAAGTCTTTAATGCTCAAAATCTTCTGTTTATTATGTGCACCATTCAAGACAAGGGTCTCTGTGTTACAAAAAGTTTCTGAGGGGAACATTTATTTTTTAATTTAATATAATTACTATTGACATGGCTTTTTTGTTCCCTGGAAAAGTCATAAAATTGTTGTTTGTCATTGACTTATGTGCTTTTTTCCATATTTTTAATAACAACAACAACAAACAACGATAACAATCAACAATATTCAGGGCTAATAACAAACATCTCTTTGGAGGGGGGAGGTAAAGGACCTGGATAACGGATAGGGGGGACGCTGGCCCAAAAAAGGTTGAGTACCTCTGTGGTATCCACTCACTTTACCAATGTATTTACATAATAGCTCTATGTTTAGTTTTACCCATCTTCTCAGCTTTCTAGTCCTTGTTTTTTACCTCTAGTTCTATTTCTACCCTTGTGTAAATCTTTCTTGGGACTTAAGAACATTAGAGAAACATAAAACCGTAGTCATATTCCTTGTATGTGTACACACACACTCAAAAGTGATTCTGCCACTGATCACATGTAGACAGTTTAAGCAAAGAAACCCCGAGAGGGACCTTAAAACTCAGAGATCTTAAAAGAGGATGGCACTCTGCTTCTCTATCCTGTTTGCATTTCCTTACAATACTAGACTGTCCAGTCCAATCCCACCGCGTCCTAATCCACACTTTTAGCCGATCACATGAGGATTTCCAGATAGCTGTACAAATAAAATTAACTTCGTCCTCTAGATCAGAGCGATTATATGCTCCTTTTTCTGAGAACTCTTTTTAGTCTAATCACACTAGTATGCCTGTAGCCTCCTATTAAAGCCAGAGTCAAAGCTGTATTTACTTGTGCATGATATTTCTATAAGGTGCTTGCAAAACTGGTTTTCCACCATGGCTTTTTTGAGAATCCTTAACCTCTGCTGATGATTTTGTGAATATCTATAGGCTTCACTGCTCTGTACTGTTTCTCTGTGCTGGATGAGCGCCTGTGTCCATATTTGCACGACACTGAACTGCATGGAAGTGGAAATGTTGCGCAACTTTGAATATAACTCGTCACCAAGGGACAATTATCTGGTACTCAACGGTTAAAACGATTCAGGGATGGAGAAAAAAAAAAAAAAAAAAAGCTAATAAGCCAACAACAGAGAGTGAAGCCTGTCTCTGTCTATTGTACAGGTAACACACATCAGCTTTAAAAGCTTTAATTTGAACAAATTTGCCACAGGATAGACAGAACAATTTCCAAGGTCTCATCCTGATAGAGCACGGGTGGGGGAAGTCTGGCAGCCAGATAACAGCACACTCAGTTCTGAAAAAAAAAAACTATCCTCCCATTTTCTCATTCTCTTAGAAACTCATCCTCAAAATGGGGCTGTAATGGGAGCGACGCTTGTCTGTTCGCTTTCTGTCGCTCCGCATTGAATATCATCAGCTGCCTCACATTGTGTCCCTTTTTCCACCCACAAAAAGAGCAATCTGTCTACTATCATTTTTTCCTCCTCTCTTTTTATAATAAAACATGAAGGTTTTTTTTTTCTTTCTTCTGCCTGATATGAATCTCCCCGGTTAACTCCTGAGCGAGATCCTGATGCCTATCTGCTTTATCTGGACAGAGGGAAGGGGCCAGATCCATCAGCAACATATTTCACTGCTAAACCAGGGAGGATTGGGTCAGACTTCCTCATGAATAAGAAGCTCCGACAAGAGAAACAACTTCTTTTCCCCTGAACTGACGCTATGAAACAAGAACGCAGAAACAGTCGGTGAAATTGAGTTTTATGTTTGACACTTCAAACCTCAAACAAATCGATCAATCTGCTTGGGGAGATTTCGCTCCGTGCCCGAATTTTTATGAAAACATTGCATCAGAATTTGGCATCAAACAGGCCATTTTTCGTCGGCGCTCTACCTGTTCTCGCAGTAGATGATCTTGAGGTCCATGTTGACTCGCGTGACGAACATTTGACAGTCGATGCGCACCTCGTTGATTGTGGGCGGCGGGAGTGCGTGAGCCACCACCACCATCCCCATGATCTGATTGGGTGCCGAGCGACTGTGTGTCAAAGCCATCCTGATGCGCAGACGCCCCGTGACGTGGATCACCTGAGAAAGAGGGGGTTTAGAGGACAGGGTAGATTAATATCACCAATTACAGAGATATGAGGATAAATAGACATGTTCATCATATAAAAGCAATACAGTTTCCCAGTCTGTGCTCTTGTCTGTTCTTAAGAACTGCCCCAATTTTAAGTCTCTAGTTAGCCAACAATGGTCCAAATGTCCAGATGTATTTTTGCAGGCCCATTTTACCCAGGATGCTTTGGGAGCGACAACAATCAGCAGCAGTGGTGGAGGATATGGGCCAGACTTTCCACTGTTATAGTCTTTGTTTTGCAACTGTTATCATGTCAACAGTTTTAGTTTTTTTTTGTTTTGGGGGAGAGAAATTAACCATTTTGAATATGAGCTTGTTTCATCATAATATAGCTTCAACATATTCAGAGATATGAGCACATCGACCGACGGCATGTGTATTAAGACAGGCTTAACATTTATATTTACACTGTCCGCAGACATTTGTGCACTTAGTCATATTTCTTCTGCTGCAAACTTACGGAGCTTTTATAGAGAAGCATCTGCAGTTTGCTAGTTTTAACATTTTGTGCATCTTTCCTTGTAGTTATTTTGTGTTTTCTGTATGTTCCTATGAATCAGTTGTCTAATTTATGATTATGCATGGCTTGTAAATTCTCTGAAATGGATCATAACCTTCATATTATGGTCTAATTTCCTTCTCTAACTATACTATATATTTAAACGTAAGGGATGATAAGAATCCAGTTCGAAATATGTTCTGAAAGACGTCACAAAAATCACAGACTGAATTTGGAGGTCAACGCAGATAAAGTCAAGGTGAATTGAGGAGAACGTTTGGGGATTTTACCTCTTTTTTGTTGAACTGACTCAGGGATGAAGTGAATGAGAAAGAAAGACAGAGGAGAAGTGGAAACAGAAGAGATGACAGCCAGAGGGAGAGTGAAGGGTGTAATTATCCAGAGCTTTAAACTCGTGTGAAGCTTCAAAAGTTTATTGGACGCGACGGATCTGCGAGAAATGTTAATCAGCTGCTGCTCACCGGGGAAATGCTTGCTTGTCTTTTAAACTCTTTTTTTGTGATGTGGCAAATATGAGGTTCAAACAAGAAAAAAAGTCTCAAAGAAGCCAGAGGAAGACAGACAAAAGTCAAACTGTACCAGATGCTTCTGCATTTTTCTATGTGTAGGCCACGGGTTCTTAACCTTTCTGGCAGTCCGACCCCTTTCTGAAGTTGAAAATATCCGCGGATCACACAGAATGCCTTTTTTAAATTGTATTCTATTGGCAGTGAGTGTCTCGCATTTTGGCCGCCTGCTGCGCCTTGCGTTTTTCAATGAGCGCCCTGAGTGGACGGAGTTGAAAAAAAATTCATTGACGTCATTCGTGTTTCTTTCCCATTGTCCAATCTAATGAATGGAGAGACGGGGGCACCGATGGAAGTTTTCAGTTGCTTGGATTGTCCGGAGACCGCAACAGTCGGTCCCCGACTCATCCTAAAATAAGACTTGAACCGACCATCATTGAGACGAAGCTCCTGGACCAGCAGTGTCTCCTCTTTCTGAGGCTCTCATGTGTCCAGACAGATGTCCCTTTCCTGGTCTCCTGTTTGTACACCTCTCACCTTCAAAACAATGCCAGAGCAGGTGACCTGCGTTTGTCTATTTTTTTTTAAAGCCGATGTTTTTAGCAACAAAAGACTCAGACCTGTGAGCTGTGATCAAGTTTCTGCTAATATAACAGTTACTACTTAGCGGCAAACCAAAGATTACAGATCGCTGGCGCTATAATCTTTGATTAGACTGACAGGACAGCTGATTCGGCCTAGCAACATTAAAAAAAATGCAGCACTTTGCTCTTTTCTAAATTCAACCGAAATTAAATTGAACCTGCAAAGCGCCTTCTGTCTGATTTTATAGCGGTTGGCATTACCGCCACCTACTGGATTAAATATTTACCACCCAAAGTGATCCATTCACATCTGTAGTCCGTCTAGTTATTTTTCTTTTCTATTTTTGTGTCTATAGCAGCATTCTTGCGACCCCCCTGGGACCAGGACACTTTTCACCTTTGATTGAGCTATAGGCTAGCAGTTTCCCCTCAGTCTGCTTAATGTCTTTGTGATAAGCTCAACTAAAGGATGCAGAAAGATGAAACTCATTTAAATCCATCCTCTGAACTGTCTCTCGGAGATGGTCATGCAGCCTAGCATTTATAAAAACAACATTTTGGACAACCATCTTGACAATTCTGACCTTTCAGGGAACGAAGAACCAAAGAATCCAAAACAGAGGAGGTAATCACCCCAGCTATGTTGCACCATCCAATTCTATACAACCGTGCTCTGCAGAGACACACATCTCCAGAGATGCAGCATCGATCAGTTATGGGACAGGAACTGATGGTGTAAATTCTCTTGACTTAACCGTTTTAAACTGACCTGTTAACAACCCACGTAGCTAGCTTGCTAAATTGTTGTTGGCTAACTGGTAAGCTAGCAGACAACCCTGTCTCTTGGGAATTAGGGTCACATTTGTTTTGCTAAAATACGCTTTGAGGGAAAACGTAACTGCTGTCTGGATCATGTTCAACACCTTTTCTATATGCCGCAGCAGTAGGGAGGTGGTTCTGGAGTTTAATACAGCATCCTGGGTGCACAACAACAGCATTTTGGTTTTAGGGAAAGACGACGTAAGTGTTAAAAAAGTATGTTCTGTCAATTCAATTCACTGTTGACATTTTCACCTTCTTCTCCAAACCTGAACCAAGAGCCTAAAGAGAGTCATACACAACATTCATCATGCTTTAGTTGCAACAAAAGGATTTTGTAATAAAATACATTGTCAGTGAACATTTTGCTACTTTACAGATACATTCATTAATGTTTCCTCATTATGTTGATAAGAAATGGATTCAGGAGCATTCAGGTTTCTCTCACGTTCTCTGGTGCAAATGAGAAGTATATAAACATAGTTTCTATGAGGCAAGACTGCACTGCATCACCAAGTTTCCATTTGGCTTTACCACCTTCTGGATTAAATATTCAAATTTATTTATTAGGATAAGCCCCTAGAGATCTTGTTTTTGAGGGGGGTTCTAACATATATCACAATCACTGCATAACAACAGAGGAGTGACAAAATAAAAAATAGAAATACAGTTAGTGTATGCATACTAAAGGTGTTAACAAGCACATTTAGGTGCCTGGCTCAAGGGCACCTCTACAGTGAGTAATGGAGGAGGAGGAAGCTGCTTCCTCCACCGTCAGGTCTCTGCTGCAACACAACAGCTTTAAAACTACTAACTGTAACGCTGCGTTGTGTGTGTGTGTGTTAGTGTTGCACTGATGTGTGTGTCTCTGAGCGCAAATGTGTGTAGTAATATATGCATGCGTGTGGATGAATATTTATGTGCGTCTCTGTCTTCACTGTGATTTGCATGTGATCCGAGTCTGCCAGGTGGAACATGGTATACGACCCCCCCCCCCCCCCCCCCCCCCCCCTTGGCTGTATGAGAATAAAACAGCAATCTGTATTGATTGAGGATGCTTTTATTTTGCTCAAATAACAAAATAAAAGCTCTTAATGATTAAATGTATTAAATCATTTTTTTTGTTTTATCACTGAAACTAATCATTCTTTCAAAATACTGTACTGTTGTTTGCTCTTGGTGGGAATTGTTGGGCCTGCTCTATATGAAATTTGCAATGAGATAACGTCCTGATATGAATTGGCACTATATGAATAAACACAAGGTAGCTCTGATTTAATCTTGAGAAGCTGCAGAGCTGCAGTCTCAATTCATTCAACTTACACTGTTAATTTCCAGCTAAACTCAGGCTTTTTGAAGACCCTTTTCTATCTCTCTCTCTCTCGCCTGTCATTCACTGGTCTTGTTTGAGTTTTGCGTGCACGCCTTGCTGCCGACAACTGCATGCACGTCGCGGTTCCGGGTATTTAAAAACTGTAAAATTTTCTTTGTGTGGTTCATCAACGGTGATAAATTATCCGAAAGTCCCGCGATGTTGCGGACAACTCTGCACAACACCAGTGAAGCTGGAGCTCCGTCTCTTCAGCAAGTGTTCCTCTTCTGCCGCTACACACACACACAAACGCTACGCCTACATATGTGCACTGACGATCCAGGGTTAGGGTTACTATTTTGGATTTATTTATGCACTTTTTAAATTCTTTTTACATGTTTATTTACAGCATTAAACGTTGAAATGTGTATTGTAACAGGCTGTATATTAACTTATTGGGAGAAAACTGGTAGTTCTATGCAAAATCAGACGTTGAGCACCCCCATCTCGCCAAAATGGCACGATCCTCGTTTCGCTGCAAAGCTTAGACTGTGAGATTGACAGTCGAATCAGGCCCAGCCCATCGAAGCATCGAATCTTCAACTATTGGGGGTCAGCCCTAATATGCAACTTCAGTTTAAAAAAAAAACAAGCATTCCTAAAGAAAAGATCAAACTCTGCTACAAAACTGTGTTGAAAGTAAAACTAAATGAAATGAGCTGCCAGAACCAGGCCTTTATTTCTAATTTACCCTGTTTTATAAGTATATTTTTGTAGAGAGTCTCTCTTGTCTGTTGTGTTAACATTTTCTCAATGTTTACCTCTTGTCATGATAAATTCAGTTTCAACTCTACAGCACTAATTCTGTTATTTCAACAACTGTCATCTCATACTCACCACTGCTCAAAACAATTTCTCTGTTTAAGAATAATAATAACCAGCCTGGTCTCATTGAAACGCATTTTTGGCTTTTTGCGTGTCATTTTACGCCTACTGTCACAGGTAAAAACAGCGTGTGTGGGATAAAAATAGCTATGAAAGTCCGTGTGGCCAGGTGGATAGTAAGTTGGTCCCTGACCCAGAGACCGGCGTTGGTTCCCGTATGAAAAGAAAAATTAAACACATAACATTGATTTTAGTTTTTTTTTTTAAGTTACGTAGGTTGTGTAACTTGCTTAAGTTAGCTACATAGCGTTAGCTACATAACGTTAGCTACGTTAAAGTTTAAGTAGCTAGCTAGCTAATGATGTTAGTATTGACCTCCCCCCGAAGCACCTTACGCTAACCTTAACCATCACTGCCTTCATCAATTATATATGCATGCTGACCGGTTAACCTCCTTTGTGTTGCAGCATGAAATGACTTAAAATGTGTTGACATGGCACGCCGAAATGTCCTTAAAAGTGGCGTGCTGTATATGCCAACCCATGATATCATGTTGCAATAACTATATTTCCACTTGCTTTAACTTGTGTCAACTGCGTGTCAGAAATGATTAAACCAGAGGGGACTTGTGAATAAATGTGAGCTGAACAAGTATCTAACACACAGTCATGTAGTATTAGATTAATTTACGGGCAGCGTTTCCTCTGCGTCAATGCATCATAGAGCCAGAAGTGTGTTAGGAAATAGTTTCTGTAGCTTTGGATAGAATTAACAGAGTGCAGGTGATAAACTAGATGTAGAAAGTGGTCATTGTGGCAGATTATATGTAAGGCAATAACTACTGCATGACGAATATATATATATATATATATATATATATATAATTATTTGCCTATGTAGGAGAGCCCTGTTTATCATTATTATGATAGCAATGACATGAGAGATGATATATGCTATTAATATTATTTTTAGTAGTAGTACTATATTGGTATTTTTTTATGTTTTGCTGGCCCCCACAATACATACACACTATTTAGCAGTAGTACTCTATAATTTATAATAAATCAGATATTTTAAAAAGGTTTTGTGTAGTTTCATACATTTGACTCTTATTTATCAAAACTTTAATACATTTTGTTGTACTTTTGTTCAAAGTACTATTACTAACAATACAAGTTTATTTTTCAACTGCATTATGTCATGGTATCTTGGTGAGGTCTCAACGTAACAAAAGTTAGGGATAATCTTCATATATCCTTTTCTTAAAATAAGATATATATCTGCAGATTTTAAAATCCTCAAATATCAAAATCGGTATCGGACTTAAAAATGTGTCGGGCTCTATTTACAGAAGAAAACTGCTTTTAATGTTTGATTTTATGTGCTGTTCTGCGCTTGTATTAGTTTCTATCTTTTTCAGTCTTTTCACTTTTACCAATTGTTTTTTTTTACAACTAAAATGAATTTTAACAAAAAAACAGCAACAATGAATGCTTAAACTAAAGGCATTATGGGTTGCTCACTCACACTCACACACACGTATGTATTTGTCCACGGTAGGATTACAGATTTCCATATGGATCTCTTCATTCGATGACAGATAATAAGACCATAAGCCAGTGGCTGATAAAATATTCTTCTGTCTCCAGGGAGACACACACACAGATATGTTGGTCAGATCACCTAATCCTGTCTGCCCAGAATGTGAAGGGAGGTTTAGCAGTGTGTGTGTGTGTGTGTGTGTGGTCAACCTGCAGCTACATATTTACATCCCCGCAGTGAAGAAACAAACACAACAGAGACATAACGCCACTGTCTGTCTGTGTCAGCTGGCTTCTTATTCCATCTTTAAAGATCAGTTTGACTTTGTACTCAACTAATTTAGATTAATTTAACGGTTCAGGTTAGTATTCTTACCTACCGGTTTCCCTTTTAGATGATCTTTCCTTATTTCAGCTTGTTTTCATTTTAAAAACAAATGTCTGTCTAGTTTTAGCTTCAGCTCAATTTAGAAAAAGCATTTTTCACATATAAAAAGTTGGATCATAAGGACATGATTTGCAGTCGTCTGGCAATGCTGCTGTTAAACTGTGATATGTTAACTTTGGAAAACAGCTGTCGAAGTTAGCGCGCTGTATAACGTAGTCAACAGTTGCGCTCGAGATAACTGTGGCTGACTTTCGCCGACTTTATAGTCTAAAGTGAGCTGCAGGCGACTGCAGGGGCGGGGAATAAAAACAGCACCGTCAAATCAGACACAATCTACCAACGGTAGGCTGCGTGAACTTACTGTGAGCTTGGAACAATGATCAGGACTTGCTCATCACGAGGTCTAGTGACATTTTGCAGAGCAGGTGAATTTTGCATGCCTGCGGGAGGTAACGCTCTTTTATGCTGAGAAAAGAGGTGGATGCGAATCTCGGCAGGTAGCCTACAACATCTGTTTTGCCGAATTATGCATTCACTTCTTAAGGTCCTTTTCGGACTTGCTGTTCACATTGTTTAAAGGCGGTTAACGCCTCGTGTTTTTGCTGAAATCCCAGGAACGGTACTTTTACTAAGTGTAATAAAATATTAACGATTCTTAACGTTCAAACAAGATATAACGTTACTGATCATTTCTCACTATTGATGAACCCCACAAAGAATTGTATAGCGTTTAAAAGCAGAATTTTTATGCATTTTCATGCAATTCTCGGCAGGCATGCAGAATTCCACATAACACCTGTGAAAGTCAACTATAAATAATCAAGGAACGTACAAAACGGGAGCACTTTCCTTTTCATCTCTTGTTCCATGCAGGTTACACCGGTAAATCTATAAGAATTAGACTTTGGGGATCATTGTTTCCATTAAATGAACTGAAGGATTGAATTGTGGAGAATCTAACCAATCTAACAATGTGCAGCAGGTCCATACTGACGTATAGATCATAAGTTTAAACATTAATATTTGTATCAACGATAGCAAGCAGCTAAAGCAGGCGACCCCGCAGGGTTTAAGAGGTTTAATAAATCCAAATAACTTCTATAAAACCAGACCAGGCGTCTAATCGAGAGCTGCGTTTATTTGTCAAAATGTGTTCCCACACCAGGCCAGTAAGCGGGGCAGGCAGCTATTTGGGACTCGACTATTATTTTTTTTTAATTAACAGTTTGGTTTGTTTCAAATTAAATCTGGTGTGTTTGCAAATTGGGTTTGTTGGGTCTGGTGTGAAAGCTGTCAATCACAGCTCCGCTGTGGACTAATAAAAGTCATAAGAGTCTTGTGGTGTGAAAGCAAAACGTACACCTCAGGGAGAGTAGATATGTGATTTTTAGTACGATTTCAAAGTTAAATTATTAAATTAAATTAAATTATTATTATTAAATCCATCCCCTGGCCATGAAGTGTCAAGAAAGCAATCTTTCAAGTGACCTGTATAAGTCATGTAGCATATATTTAGGAAAGAAACGTGGAAACATGTATGTGAATTAGCATCATCATTATTCCCCAACTGTGTAAATTCATGTTTAGTGTGAACATGACAGGAAATAAGAGGCAACAATGGTCCGGACCACATGAGCTGGACTACAGGCGTGAAAGCGACAATAATCTCACTTTATATCCTGAGGACTTGATGTGCACTCCTCTCTTTGTGAGCGTGGACTTCATCCGGATGAAGAAGGATCGTTCCAGACTGTTATCAGGAGCCAGAAGACTGGGACTGCTGGACTCCACTGAGAAGCAAAAAACACACAAACATTTGGAGATTAGGGTTTTTAACTTTTATAGAAAGTGAAAAAACATTCATAAGCCCAGGAAAACACATTGAAGTAAAACGATATATTTGATTGAGTATCTTCCCAGGATGAGAAGGAGATTAATAACACGTTTTGACATCGTATAAACACATAAATTCCACAGGAAGGCCTATTTAAAGTCAAAACGTAAAGTGGAATACCGACATGTGCTGAAACAACACGAGTGAAATGATTTTAATCTGTGTAAAACAAGCAAACACATTTCAGCAGGACCAGTCAGCTGCTGCCAAACTGTCAATCATCTCAAAGCAGCTCGTGGCAATCAAACAGTGAAATGTCAAAACATGTCAGGAGCCAAGACGAGAGAAAAACAAGACAGACAGGATGTTCAGAGACAAATTAAATGTGTGTTAAGCAGAAATATCCAACTTGTTTCGATGCTTCTTAAGTCCTGACTGTCAGAATCAGAATCAGATTACTGCTTTTAAACCCGATTGCCTCATCCTTCAAAACACAAAATCCCACACAGGAAGTACATTTTTCACCGTCCTACAGCGTCCACTCATGAAGCCGGCAGTGCTTCCTGAAGGTGAGAAGCTCCATTTGTCAGCTGCCATCAGCAGCAGAAATCAACTGCATATTCATAACTTCACCATCCCTGAGAGCGAGTGATGGGAGGAGAGACAGCTGGGAAATGTCTCGTCATACACATGTAAAAACACACCTATACTCACACAACCCAACCTCGTTTGGGTCACCTCACACAAAACTACAAAAAGGAAGCGAATAGAAATAATCAGTGAATGAAAACTATACATCAGCAGGGTGGGGAGTCTGTGCGTTTGAATGTAAAATGGGTGTGTTATTTGTGTTACAAGAGGATGTGTTCACAGTTAAAATAAACGGTTATGAAACAAGATGCAAACAGCGGCCTCCTAAGTCAAAGTAATGCACTTTGATCTGTCCACGCTGTCGTCCTCTCTACAAGGTTTTACACCGCTAATAATACATCCCTACCTCCTATAAATTACGTTTATTAATTACTAATTTGCAACGGCAAAACACCAATATCTTTCTCTAACTTTTTTTTTGCTTAAAACGAAGAATATGTGAGACCCAGGATGCAAACTCCAGTCTGAGGTGTCAAAGTCCTGCACAAATGAATTAATGAATGTGACCACGCAAATGCTTAAGGTTTGGTTAGGTTTAGGGAAAGATCGTGGTTTTGGTAAAAATTATTAAGTTCAGGGGAGCTTCGTTGCCAGGAAACAGGAAGAGCGGCCTCCCGAGTTAAAGTCTAATGTGTTGTGGATCCATTCATCCACTTTAAAATAATGTCACGTGACTTCCTCCTTTTGCTCCCAAAAGAAAAGAGTCGTAATCTCTACCGTCAGTAAATGTTGAGTTGCGCTCAGGTTTGTCTGCTTCCTTCGGTCAAATATATTACCACTGAACATAATCCAGTGATCACTTTTCACATTTCCCCAAAGCATATTTAGCAAAATCTACAGAATATAATGTAATTTCTGCGTTTCTATTGTAAGGTCCTTGTCTGTTAATTGCAAACACATGGTGATTGTAGGTATTTGAACTGATATATGTGGTCACCAGAGAACTGGTGTTTTTGTGTTGTCTGCAATTCTTTATAACTCTTTTTTTCCTCCCGTGCATGTAGCTCACACACACACGCACATGCACACGCAAACGCACGGGTCTCTGGTGGACGTGACAGTTTGATCAGCACTGATACGTGTTGACAACGTCTAATCTGAAAAAATTGAAAGAAATGAATTAATATGCAAATTCATCCTTTATAATATAAATGTCCTTGAGAGAGAGGGAGAGAGAGAGAGAGAGAGAGAGAGAGAGAGGCAAGGGACGAGGGAGAGAGGGAAAAACAGGGGGAGGCGAAAGGAAGGGAAGAAAATAGGGAGGAAGAGGAGAGAATAAAGGGGAGGAGAGAAAAAGGAAGGAAAAAAACAAACATAAATGAGATGAGGGACAGATAAAGACAAAGGGAAAAGGAGCGATGAATGTGAAGAGAGAAAAGAGAAAAAAGGAGATGGAAAAAGAGAGAAAGAAAGAAAAAGAGAGGGGGGGAGGAACTGACGAGGAAGTAAAGGAGAAAGAAAGAGGGAGGAAAAGGGAGAGAGGTGGAAAAAGTGACAAATAGTGATGAGAAGAGAAAGAAAAGATGAGAGAGAAAAATGTAGGGAATGAAAACAACAAAAATCTGAACAAGTAAAGAGAGGAGAGATGGAAAAAGAGTTGGAAAAAGATGACAAAAAAAGGATGAAGGAAGAAAGGAGAAGTGGGGGAAAAAGAGGGGAGGAGAAAAAAGGGAAGGGTGAGGCAGAAAAAGGGAGCAAGAGAAGAATGAGAAGATGAAAAAGAATAAGGGGGAAAGAGGTGAGAGGAAAAGTGAAGGTGAAGAAAGTATAATATGAAAGAGGGAGAGAGAAAGAAAGCAAAAGAGGAAAAAAAGAGGAAAAAAGAGCGAAAAGGAGAAACAAATAAGTATATAAAGTAAAGAGTATAGGACAAATGGAGGAGAGACAGAAAGATGGAGGGAAGGAAGAAAGGAAAGACAAACGGCAACAGGGAACGAGAGAGGAGGGAAGGAAAGAGGGAGGAATAGGAACGGGACAAAAGAGGGAATTAAACAGTAACAAATGAGCTTGAACTACAACACAGATGGAGGAGAAGCAAAATATGGGAAAGAGAGGGAGAGGGAAGTAGAGAAAATTCAAAAAGGAGGAGAAAGAGAGGGATATGAGATGAGAGAAGAATGGAAAAGGTTGAGGGGGGAAGACAAAAATGAAGGAGGGAATAAGGGGAAGGAGAAAGAGATACCGAGGGAGGAGAGGAAAACGAATGAATGAAAGAGGGAGCGAGAGGTGAAGAGGGAAGGAAAGAGGAACCTAGGTTTCCCAGGAGGAGCTGAAGCTACAATCCTCTCTCCTCCCTCTATTTCCCTCCTCCACCATCCCTCCAACCCTCCGTCAGTCGATCCGCTCGTCTCTCGGTCCTCCAGGAAATCAGCCGGCCATCTGACGGAGGAATAATGATGATGGAGGGAGAGGAAACAGAAGAGAGGGAGGGCGGACGAACGACATGGGAGCAGGACCCTCTCTCTCTCTCTCTCTCTCTCTCGCGCGCTCGCTCTTTGTTATTCACTTTGAATTAATGGGATTAGTTTCCCCACAGAAACACACACATTCGAGATATCGCTTCCATTGTCATACACACCCAGCCTCCCCCCTTTCATTTTTATACACACTTCCTTTCCACTGTGTGTGCGTGTACAATTAAACAAGTTATGCATGAATAAAGGGAAAGGAGGACAGAAGGAAGAGGAGGAGGAGGAAAGAGAAGAAAAAGAGTGTGAGGAGGAGGAGCAGAGGAAGTGGAGAGTTGGGGAAAGGTATCAAATAGAAGATGAAGAGGAAAACAAATAGAAGAAGATGAAGCAGAAGAAGGAGTGAGGTCAGTAAAAGGATGAATAAAGATTCACATAAAAAGAAGAGAATAGAAAGAGGAGGAGGAGAATCAGACGAAGAAGAAAACGAACAGGAAAGAAGAAGAAGAAGAGAAAGACAGTAGAAGAGAAGAGGAGGAAAAGATGAGCAACATAAGAAGGAAGTGAGTGTAAGAAAGTCTCAATAAAACAAACGGAAGAAGATGAGTAGGAGAAGAAGAAGAACACCACAAGAAGCAAAGTAGATGGAGGGTATGGAAGAGCAGTGGGAGCCAGAGGAAGAACAAAAAGAAGATGAGAAGGAGGACGGGGAACAATTTCTGCAGCAGGAGAAGTGAAAGGAGGAGTTGTTGAGGGAATAAGAAATAAAAAAAATGACAAACAGAAGAAGAAGAAGAGAAGGAGGAGGAGGAGGAGCAGCCGAGGGATTGAAAAGAAAAGAAGAGGTGGAGGATCATGTTGGTATTCAGAGGTGTTTTCTCATTCTGCTCGTTCGGAGTGCGTTGCCGCGGCGTCTTCGGGGACGACGCTCCTACAAGACAAGATTAGCGCTACAAAGGCAGCAGGTGGCTGCCGGCTCCGCCGCCGCCCGACTCTGGGACCTAATTATCTACGGCATGGAAACTTTCCCTCGTTTGAAGGACAAATGATTAATTAAAAAGAACAACTCACCTACGCCTGTGATCTTTGGACAATACCCAGAGTGCCATGGGTTTCCTTCCGTGTGTGTGTGTGTGTGTGATTGCAGGGAAGTCTCGGCGGGACGGTGTATCATTGTCAGACAGTCTAATAGCGCTGCCTGGTTCAGGGAGCCCGTTGTGTCCGACTGATAACTAGCTAACGTGACGGCGGCACGCGGGCCGAGACAAAGCGAGCTACAGCAAGGTCACCTCAACCTCCGCCAGCCGCCACGAGTGAGTGAGGAAGACACAATTATAATTGGCTTAACAAGCGGGATATATTACAGCAGAAAAGAGAAGACACGTGTAGCACATGAATGAGTCATTTAGCAACTTTAAGTGGCTGAAAATAAACAGGAGAGAGAAGCTCATAATGAAACCATCAAAACACGAACAAGTTTTAACAAATAATCTATGCGTCACGTTTTTTAGTCAGCAGTTTCCACTCGCCGCCACATTTCTCAGCCTGTCAGGGTGGTTAGAGCTGATTTCTTGCCACTTATTGAACGTTAGTGGGATAAACTAATTTAAGGTATTTCCTGTATTCTGAATGTGTCTGTTTATAAAACTGTTTAATTAGCATGCTGTGTTCATGTCGTCCATCCTTTTGCTCTATAAGCTCAGCAAAGTTCCCGACAACCTTTTGTAATGGCAATAAAGTTAACTCAACTGAGGTGGACACGTGATAGGCCAAGACACCTCTACAATCGAAGGGAAGCACACTTCTCCTGCAGATGTCGTTTCTCCTTGAAGGTACAATAATTATTAAAAAGAAGAACATGAAGCCTGATAGAGGACTTCGTGACCTGGTGCAGGAC